TTTTTTTATTCAACTTCCTCCAGATAAGCCTGGAATAAAGAAAAGGGGTTTAATTAGCTTTGAATGTAAATTCCAGTCAATTTCCAGGAAGATGATTTTGCTAAGGAGATAGTCTCTCTAGTAACTTGTATATTTTCCTCTCTCCAGGCCCTGTCCACAGTTGATTTGAAGAGTCCTCTTTCTTCTGCTGCCTTAATTGCTATTATTTCTTTTTCTCTCCACTTATGTGATTCTTTGCCAATGGCTGTCTGAGAATTAGATAAAACCAAACCAAACCGGTTGCCGTTGAGTCGATTCCGACTCATAGAGACTCTTTAGGACAGAGTAGAACTGCCCCATAGGGTTTCCAAAGGTGTAATCTTTATGGAAGCAGACTGCCACATTTTACTCCCACTGAGGGGCTGATAAGTTTGAACTGCCTTCGGTTAGCTACTGAGTGCTTAACCACTGCTCAGCCAAGGTTCCTGAGAACTGGGTAGGGAAGCAAAATTGGAAGAACAGATCCAAACAAGAGTTAATTTCTGATATGGATGAGCTTACAGTCAATGGGGAAAAACAGATAATTTTCAATTTAATATGGGTCAGGAGTCGTCCTGCTGATGCAATGGTTAAGCTCCTAACTGCTAACTAAAAGATTGGTGGTTGGAACCCACCCCGCTGCTCTGTGGGAGAGAAACCTGATCTGATCTGCTCCTGTAAAAATTACAGCCTAGAAAACACTATGAGGCAGTTCTACTCTGTTGCTTGGGGTTGCTATGAGCCGAAAATTGACTTGATGGTTGACTTGATGGCACCTAATGTGGAGTCATGTGGCCATCCTTGTGAGTAATTCCCCGTAGGAAAAAGGGATTCTGTTCCTACAAGAGGGAAGAGAGGCTGGTAAGCAAATATGACAGATGTTCCTCACATGACATTTCTTTGCTTTTAGGTGGAACATTTTCAGCTCGTTGTGGTAATCCCACCCTCAATAGAAGTCTGGTCTATTTGACATTCCATTGCCTTTGTTAATTAACAATGGGGAAATTATTTAAGATATTTTGTAAGAAAAACCCTTAAGTAAATGTGATCTATGAGGTAAAACAATAAAAGAGCTTGGTAGTGATGAGATGGGGAATCAATGCCTTAGTTCCTCCTTCTAGTGAACGGAGTCACACCTGACTTTGTTGTACTCTGACCTAGGTTTTATTTGCAGTGTAGCCATCTCTATGAAATACTGGATGCTACTAGCATTTTCCATTTGATGCTTTGATAATTAAAAAAACACATTGAATAAGCGTCTTTGAAGTGGTGTATAACTGAAAAGATTTACAAAATCAGTAGTAGGTAAAGCATCTTATTCTGTCTTGCTAGAATCTCACATTAATCATCTATTTAACTTGCATTTTCCTCTTTCATAGTTGATTGGCTATGCATCAACTGCAGACGGGTATTCAGCAGATTTACCTCTACCACTGCCTATCCGAGTGGAGGATGAAAATGACAACTACCCAGTGTTTACAGAAAGCATTTATAATTTTGAAATTCCAGAAAGTAGTAAACTTGGTAAGACTCCTTTTTAAGAATAAAATACATTATGTTAAATATTTGTGCATGCTTTTTGAGACATTGAGTTTTTTATTGCCATGGCCGTATTAGGTGAATGAATATCTATTTAACAGAATGCTTTTAATCTCATCAAATCCAGTCAATATGTAATGTACCAGCTATTACAGGAGTATTGGGTTTTGTCAGCATAATAGAAATTAAGTATAAGACAGCTGACAGTTATTCAAGCTTTGTACTGTATTTGGTTTATTTCATTTTCTCATTACGTGGGTGTATTATTATTCTCACCTCTAAAAGAGGACACGCAGAGTAGAATAAATAATAAAGCTAAAATCAGTATGGATATTTTTATTAGGTTTTATTTGAGAGAAGTTTGAAGGACATTCACTGAGGATACACAATTATATTTTTTAACGTTTATTTATACTGTCTTTTCTCTTAAAACTACCACCT